AAAAAAACGTATGTACACACAAACACACCCACACAGATGCATGTGTACGTGCAGCTGTCACTTTATTACAGTGTCTGGGACCAAAGGCATGGCATCTCTGAGGTCTGCCTGTATACCTCAATGTATATGCTTCTGTGTACACATAGACATCTTTATGTGTATGAATCTAGGTGAAGGATATATAAGCATTCATTATATTATTAATATTTTTTCAGGCTCAGCGCCTATAGCTCAACCGGCTAAGGCGCCAGCCACGCACACCTAAGGTGGCAGGTTCGAATCCCCAGCCCGGACCCGCCAAACAACAATGACGTCTGCAACCAAAAAATAGCCGGGCGTTGTGGCGGGCGCCTGTGGTCCCAGCTACTTGGGAGGCGGAGGCAGGAGACTCGCTTGAGCCCAGGAGTTGGAGGTTGCTGTGAGCTGTAATGCCACGGCACTCTACCCAGGGGGACAGCTTGAGACTCTGTCTCAAAAAAATATATATATATATTTTTTCAGTTTTTTCATACATAAATTAATTTTTCAAAAAGGTTTCTATAGAAATGTGCTTTTCATGGCAATGAGTTCTTTTTCATTCCTTCCAGGAACACCTAGTGCAAACCCAGGTGGCATGTCCGGCACCACTAGTTACAAGAAGTGATGGAGGTGCTCCCCACCAGCATCTGGCCATGGTGAGGGGAGGTGCGGGCACCCTCAGATGGTGCTGCAGGGAGAGATCCCCCGTCCCCGGTCCCCGGTCCCTGGCCTACCTCTGCTTGGTCTGGGCTCACAAGGCAGCAGGCGGGTCTCCACCAGAAGGAGCTCTGCCTTTATTTCCCATCAGGACCTGACAGAGGCACTTCCTCTGGCCTTCAGTGACCCACACGTGCAAGATCAAACTCTGTAGGCACACACTTATGTCCAGCCATATGAGCTGCTGATGATGCCAGAACGGACGTGACCTTTGCACAAACAATTCCTTGCCAAGGGATCAGAATGCCCAGTTCATATCAATCCAGGCCTCAAGACCCAACTCAAAGCCCCCTCCTAGTCCAAGGGGCCTTCTCTGACTCAGCTTCTCTCAGTGACTGGATCTCTGGATTTTACTAATACATGTATCCCTCTTCTCCCCCATCACATACCTGTATGTGTACACACACACCATCACATACCTGTATGTGCACACACACCATCACATACCTGTATGTGCACACACACACCATCACATACCTGTATGTGCACACACA